CAAACGTGCCGGTCACAATGGCTTCTTCTGTTTGCGGTGCGGGAACAACTTTCAAGCGGGTTTCCGCGGGTGCGTTTGGTATATCACGCTGCCCCCTCCGTGGAGAACAGTCACGGGATTTGGAGCAGTTTCTCTCTGTGCTCCAAAGCAGTTGTCGGTGTCTCACATATTTGTTTCCTCCGCTTCTTCTTCTGTGGTTTCCTGAGCGTGTGTCTGTTTCCGCCTCTTCTTCTTCTGCGGTTTGGGCCCACTTCTCGCGGGGTCTCAGCTGGTGCGGGCGCCCGCCTGTGGTTGGGGCGTGGGGCTGGTGCTTTGAGGCAGAGGACAGAGCGCGGAGGAAAGGCGCCGACAGACCTGGATAGGGAAGAGGGAAAAGAGACAACAGTAGTCTGCTTCATTTTTTAAAAACCCAACGCCTTGTTTGGGCGCGTACTTAGCATGGAGTTCTGCTCCTAGTGTGAAAGGGTTAGTAGGTGAGAGAGGGCGTGTGTGTGCGCCTGTGTGTTCTCCGCTTTGGTGAAAGGCGGAGGAGCTATTGTTTTTACATATTTCTTTCTCTAACCTCTTTTGCCGTGATATTCTTAAAACCAAGTATTTTTTTTTTTTTTCTTCCCTTCTTCTTCTAAATTATCACGCAGATGACCTGCACCATAGGCAAGCACTTCATAGCTTGCATCTTCTAGATTGTTTTTTACCCATTTTCTCGTACGAACAATGGGCCTAACCCGCTTAGTCTCTCCCTGCTCTTACCCACTTTGGGGCGCTCCGTTCCCCCCCCCGCTGGTTCAACCAGCGAGCGCGCGTTCTTGAAAACGGAGCGGTTCTGGCTGAAGACACTCGGAGATTCCAGGGTCGCTTACAATGCGATACTAACGCGCAGCCGCTAGTTTCAATCTAGAACAAAAAGCCCCCCAAAAAATCCCGCACACAGACTATGCTGTGGCAATGAATGAAATACCCCAAAAATACATAAATAAACAAATCCCCGTGTACACTTAAGTGCTGCCCTGGGCTCGTTACGCAGATGAAAAGACAAGACTCACCAGATTAGGTTCTTTTTGGTCTTGTGTGGCAAAAGGATTCCTTCCGTGCGCGGGACAAGCGCGCCCTCCTTTGTCTCCAAAAAGGAACAGAGGCTGGTGATCCAGGTCGGCCAAACAAAGCCGCTCGTCCCCGCCGAAAGTATCCATGCCAAGACATGTCAGCAACGCCAAATTGTTATAGAATTATATACCCCATGAAGGAGAAAACTCAAAGGTCCTTTGTCTGATCAAAAGCGTAAGTTTATTGTTAACGCACAGTGCGGAGAGCCAGCACATACACTCCAAAAGCAGCATGTCCCAGCTCTGGGGGCCAGAGCCCCGAGCTTCCTGTATACAAGACACACACCAAAGATAGTCACGCCCACAACGGAGCGGAGGGGGCCACCGGTGAGGAGGCGCACAGGAAGCGCCGGCGCTATCCCCTGTGGTGGCAGTGGCATGGGGTGTGAACAGACAGACAATGGTGGAAATGCAGGTCATACAGATGCAAGACGGAAAGACACAAGGGTGTGACAGACAGCAGGGACCTTCACAAAGCTCAGCATGGCGTCAGAAGGTCGTCTGCATTGATAAAAGGCCTTTGACGTCCGTGTATTTGCTGCGGCTGGTTTTAATGTAATTACTCCAAAAACTGTCACCACACATAGCTTCTAATTTATTTTACTTGCAGAAAATACATGTGAAAATGGAGTAACAAAACAGATGTCTTTTGGCTTTCTAATATTGGTTAATGTACTTTCTGAAATATGGGTGCACCTGTTTAAGCTGCAAAACTAGTAAAAGTTGTGTCCACATGTTGTGATGCTGCAGAGAAACAGCTGTTTTAACTGGACACAACAGGATTTAATGACGAGGTTTTTAACACTCAAAACTCACATTCAAATGGATTTTCTACAGTTTCAGGTTTTCACTAGTTTTAATTAGTAGTAAGTGAATGGGCTTCTTTCTTGAATACATCCTAAAACTGGTAACATACACCTAAATTAAATCCTAACAGCTAAAAGAAAACATGGTGTTGTTATGGCAACTAGCACGGTGGCTGGGTGGATAGCACTCTTGTCTCTCAGCAAGAAGGTCCTGGGTTTGAATCCCGGTCGGACCAGGGCCTTTCTGAGTGGAGTTTGCATGTTCTCCCCGTGTCTGCGTAGGTTTCCTCCGGGTGCTCCGGTTTCCCCTACCACAATTGTAAACCGCTTTGTGACTGGTCTGTGAAAGGCGGCATATAAATAATACTTACTTTTATCCAGTCCATGAGTGAGATAATATAATAAACTTAATGTTATAGAAATAAACTAATGGGTAGAGTCAAAAGTTTTGAAGACCAAAAACGTACCTAAGGGGAGTCATTAAACAGTCTGTCGGCTTGTCATCGTAATTGCAGTTTTTTGCAAGATGAAAATTGGTGCAGTCCTATAGCATCACAGTGACACCAGCAGATGTTCAATATTGTTTCATTCACAATCACCTTTTTCCATGACTAGTAGAAGTTTAAAAAAGCCATCAAAAATTAGAGAGACAATTTCAGAGACGGTTATTTCTTTCTAGAACTAACACCCGTGTTTGTAACAATGACTTGAACTGTTGGATAAACCACTCGTTGTCCATAACGTCTATATTTATTTGACTTTTGTTTACCTTTACAGTCAGTAATTTAAGTCTGTAGTCGTTGGTACTGTGTCTGTGTTGTAACATCTTACTGTTGTTTTACTGAAGCTTGAAACTAAAAATGTCAAATAAAACAAACGCTACAATAATGTGTCTGTGTTTCTCATCTGTCTCTGTTTTTTCGCAAGTAGCAAAGATCGGGGCAGATTTTGGAGTTTTTATGATCCTTTATAATGTTTTTTCTAGTCCATCCATCCATCCATTTTCTTCCGCTTTATCCGTTGCCGGATCGCGGGGGCAGCAGTCTAAGCAGAGACGTCCAGACTTCCCTATCCACACACACTTCCTCCAGCTCGTCTGGGGGGACCCCAAGGCGTTCCCAGGCCAGCTGAGAGACATCCCTCCAGCGTGTCCTGGGTCTTCCCCGGGGCCTCCTCCCGGTGGGACGTGCCCGCAACACCTCCCCAGGAAGGCGTCCAGGAGGCATCCTGAACAGATGACTTTTCTAGTCATTTAACAATAATTATGAATATCATTTTTAATATCCTATTTACAATTTTTTCCACCTATTATTATTGGTATGGTATGGTTTTTAATTTTACAGGGGCAGTAAACATTAGAGTAGTAGGGTAGCAGTAGACAATAAACATTAGCCAGAAGGAGATATGCCTTGTACCAGGTTATAGCAGTAGTGCTAATTTACACCTGTAGTCTCTGAGCCGGTTGTTGTAAAACAGTCAAATAAAAGTAGATGGATACATGACCATACATTATCAGACATAGATTACAATTTAATGTATCACAGGTCATAACAAAATGAAATAAAACCACCCAGCCCCCATTCTTTACTTTCATACAATCCTATACAAACTCTCTTTCTCTCTCATACACTCACACACACACAGACAAGCACAAACCCACACACACTTACGCAGACACTCATCACACATTGTCTGTTGCTTTCTCTTATGTAGGCACGTGTATGTATATTTGTATGTGTATATGTGATCCAAACTACCTCCAAAAAAGGTGGTTTGGATCCAGATGTTTTTGAGGAACTGGTCTGGTCAGGACTCAGGCTGGGTCTAAAGCCCCCTCGCTCCCTTCTATGGGTGGAGTGAGAACAAAATTCCCACAACGCTTCATGACTCTTGTCTGTGAGAAGTGCTAAATAAAAAAAGATGACTTACTTGCTTACTTATATCCAGGATCTTCCACAACACGGTTTCAAACACATATTATAATGAGAGTTTGATCAACTTTCTTAGATACAGCCTCTCAAAATGATCTTTCTTGTGTTTAATTTCTTTCATTTAAAGGAGGAGATTTCAACTATTCTGAATCCTCAGCCTGATTAATGCTTTATTTCCGAAAAGTGGTTACTATTGGTGCATACTTTATTCATACAGTTGTCACAGCGCTTCAAAAAACTGAACAACCAAAAAATGTTCTGTAAATGTGACCCGCCGGAGTCTTGAACCCGTGGCGTTTATTGCAAAACTTTGGCACGAAACATCATTACCACATACATTAAAACAGTTTACCTCCACACACATTGACATTATAAGTCTGAAGAAAAACATGTTATGTATGGACTATTGTGTAGCGGAATGGCAGATTAACGACTTTTGGTGAAAAAAAGGATATGGTTTGATGGCACATGGGAAAAGTCAGCAACTGAATGCATAAGTTAGCCATCTTTAAAAAGTGGTTGTGCTTCTCAGTAAGAAAGTCCACGGTTTGGTTCCTCCTCCAGACCTCTATGTGAAAGGCAAGGAAAGAGGCATGTCTCACATTTTCAGGAAGAGTTTGCGTGTTCTCCCTGTGTCTAAAAACATGTACAATAGAAATGAATGGAGAAGAGAGTGGATGATATAACTTGTTTAACAAGAATGTCAAATTATATACATATAGGTACACCAAAATTGTGAATCTGTGAATATATGTGTCTATATAAATACAAACAATACTAAAAAGCGAAAAAGAATCGGAGGTGTGCTGGGGTATAGGGCTTTACACAAATAAATGTAATTGAAGTGAATAGGACATAGAGATTGTGCATCTGTTTGTGATGAATACAGCACCATATACACAATTTAGTATTTTTTGTCTATTATTGTGATATGTATGAGATCTTTGAAAACATGTGACCTAATGTTCATAATGACCGGATAATTAAACTACAAACTCAGTATTTACAGACTAGGTGAACGTTGAGCGTCAGCCCTTTCGAAAGTAGGACACAACAACCTCATAAATGACCTTCGCTCGTTGCATTGTTTACCTTCTGTGACAGTTCTAAAGTAGGTTAAAGATTATCTGTTGTGAACCCAAGGTTGCCGTTGCGTCCTCATGACGCCGGTGAACCCGATGAGGCAATGTTTGGATTAGTCATTTTAGGACATGGAGTTTTGTATGACGAAAGACTTTAGGTTTGCATTATTGATATTGGCAGTGGGTTTATCTCCACTGAGTATGGACTGAAAGAATCTCAGACTGAAGAAAGAATCTCTGTGTGAAGGAGACGCTCCACAGGTCTTTCCTTCCTGTCAGACTGTACAATGAGAACTGATGAGTCTGTATATGTCTCAGCTGTAAAAAAGTAAATACTGCAATGATGTGCAATGTGCAATACTGCAATTTCAGAATGTTCACAGAGGGCTACTTTGTCTACTTATCCTTCCACACATCTAAATAAAATTGCTCACAGTGTGTACCTTTTTGGTCTCCTATAGGTTTTTCTGTTTATATATGCAGTTTATCTTGTATTCTTTAAATGTAGCAGTTAGCATTTAGCCTTTCAACAAACCTTTTTTGTGTATTTCAGATTTACACTATCAAAAGTGACTAAAGGTGAACCCTTATAAATGACTTACTTTCAATAAAACTGGTGGGAAGACTTTAGAATTCCATTTAGCAGTCAACATGTCTTTTCTGGGAGGAGTAGCTTCAGTTTTAATTGTTAAAGTCCATCCATCAATCTTCTTCCCCTTAATCCATTTCTGGGTTGGGGGGGTGGCAGTCAGCTGCACCCAGTACACAGAGCACCAGCCCCTCACTGATCCTCCTGCAGGTGGTGAGTCCACAGGAGGATGGCTGCTCTGTCAGTGTATGGATCGATAGGGCACAACCTTGATCTTTCAGCGGGGGCTTCAGGCAAAGTGGGGTTAAGCAACACCAGACATCATTGGGAGTTGTTGGAGAAGGTCTTGTGGTGGGCTTGAACCAACGACTTTCAGGCTCAAAGGCCAATGTTCAACCAACTAAGCCAATGTTGCCAGTCATTGAAGTGACTACAAAAAAAAAAAAAAAAGTACTAATAGAAACATTTCATTTTTTTGGAAATTTGTTGTAAATGTTGCTTTTTGTGTTTAATTTCACTAGAACGTTGACATGCCCCCTTTTTGAAGACAGAAAATAGGAGGAAAAAATTGCACTTATTATTTTTAACCATAAAAATTCCATTAAAAAATGGCTTAAAAACTGCTAGCTAAAGTTAGCATTAGCATTAGCATTAGCCCCAGTCTTCACTCCCTCCAGCCCGCGGGGAGAGCAGACACACACAGCGGTCTACAGCGTGGAGCAGCAGGAACAACTTTCACCACCACCGCGACCAGAGAACCAGAATATCAAGACATTGCCCACGCTTCAGTGAAAGGTTTGACAATAAAACAAGCTTTAAACAACAGCGTGACATGTTTGTGTTTTGACTTTTTACGCACAACTAAACAACTCCCTTGTACAGAAGAGGCAGCAGCAGAAGAAGGGACCAACAATGTCAAAACCAAAAGGCATGCTGCGAGAGGCTTCACACCAGATCATAGCCGGTGGATCCGCAGGTAAGTGTCGCAAAAACTGGCTGATTTTGTCCGTTAATGTGCGAATGAGCCGTGCGTAATCTGTGCGTAACGCTGACTTCGCGGATCCACCCATTCACTGCAGGTTTTGTGGTTTTATGGCGAAATGCCCGTGAATGGTTGTTGCATTGTGTTGTAATTTTATTCATCAAAGTGAGTGCTCCTGTTGCTGCGGTGCTGCATCTGACCAAAGAGCAGTATAGAAGTGAGATGCATGCTTTACGCACGTTTGTTTTGGATCCGGTTTCTCAGCTCTGTCACTGCTATTATGCAAATATATATCTTTGCAAACGGTATTGACTCGTATATGACAACATATGGTTATTACGGGGATGTACTGTGTTTTCTTGTAGAATATGTTCATACTGTCATGGTTTCTTTATAGTTGGCATATCTTTGCTATAATCAAGGATGGAAGTAGGGAGATTTTTAGTAGATTGACTTTGTATTGCAGAAGGTAAAACAATATTTTAATGTTTTTGTTCAGGGGTGACAGCCGCTTCTTCCTCTACTACTACTACTACTACTACTACTACTACTTTTGTCTTTGTAGGCCTACCAGTGACTTGAGTACTTACACCATTGGCTATTATAAGGTATACTACTACTACTACTACTACTACTGCCAGACTGACTTCTCTTGTGTCATTCACCCGTTGTAATAATGTGCAATATTGTATATAGATGTCACTTTGACAAAACACTTCAGTCACTTCATCTGCAATGTATTCTCGTTTTCTATTTATTCTGTTGATCCCTATTTCCCCACTGTGGGACAAGTAGAAGTCTCAATCTTAATCTCAATTCATTGCTCTAAATTAGCAGACACTGACACGATTCCAATGTCTTTTATATATTATATTCTGCATTGTGTAGTTATAGATTATTGAAGTATGTTAGAATATTGAGGAAATAACTGGGGATACTGTGGGGGAACAAGACCTTTACCGAACCCAGGAATGAAATCATAAAGGGGATGAAAATGACATGACTGATTGCATGTGTTTATCTGGGTAACTTTAGACACTAGTTACATAATACATACATAGACGACAGAAACCATGCATTCACACAGACACGGGTGGGAAGGGCCAGCATCACAAGTCTCCAGTCAGTCCATTGGCTAGTTCACATGATGCTCAACCTGGATCCAGAACACAGAATGAGAGGCCCCCAGGGAGAGGAGCAGTAGATAACAAGAAATCCAGGACCTTTTGAAGTGCATAGAAAAAAAGAGGGCCAAAATTGTTTGTAACTTCATATCTTGTTTCTGCCAGAGATAAGAGAGTTACTGGCTTGAAGACTTCTGCAAATTGTCTTGAATACATATTTAGATGTAAGGAAAAGGTTTTGCACATGTGTGGTTTTGATAAAAAGCTGAACTGTTGATTGCTTCTTTATTATGCTAAAGTTAGAGATGTTATTTCAATTTAGTATAGAGTTATTGTTAATTTATCTTGTGTTGTGTGCTCCTCATTCCAACAGTTTGTTTTTTCATAATATAGTCAAATGGTAGTCAAATACTACACTAAAATGTAATAAGACCGTTGTTACTGCTGCTATGACTTTGCTTTCAACTTTACTCATTTATTTTTGACATGATGGCAGGCATGTCACTGGTCGCTTGCTTCAGCCTGCCTTTGTTTCCCCGCATTCATCCGCCTTTTGTCTCATTAGAACTCTCAGCAAGAAGGTCCTAGGTTCAAATCCCGGTTGGACCAGGGCCTTTCTGAGTGGAGTTTGCATGTTCTCCCTGTGTCTGCGTAGGTTTCCTCCGGGTGCTCCGGTTTCCCCTACCACTAAAAATATGTACAATAGGTCTGGCATGTGCCTCCTGTACTGGCACCCCCACTCCCAAAAATCACAATTATAAACCGCTTTGAGACTCCGATGTGCAGTGAAAAGGCGGTATATAAATAAAGATTACTACTTACTTACTTACTGCACTACTGAAACAGGAAGTGACCAAACAGGAAGTGGAAGGTTTTTCTTGGTCCTTTGCTGATCTTTGGCTGTGTCTTAAAGTTGCACAACTCTCTCCTGTGCCAAACACACACACGGAACGCATTACCCAAAAATGTGAAACACTTTATCTGTTGTTGTCTTGCTCTTCTACATATTGTGTTTTTTTTGATTGACAATCAGATACACAGCAAAACTATTATTTAATTTTCTATAAAAGATGAAAAACATACATATGCTTACATGTATATTTGTCCTTTTGCACTATATAACTTGACTCTAAAGGACTACCATGTACGTATCTGTACCATTGATGAAATAAATGAATGAATAATAAATAAAACATAATACTTACTGTAAAAGCATAGGGGAGGGGATACTCAATGCTTGGATCTCACATGACTTTCTCCAATGGATTCAATTCATTATATTGTCAATGAGAAAAGTTAGTTATTATCCAGGCGTTTCGACCCAGAGGTGAGGAACGAGACAAGTCCGTCAAATGCTATTGGTTTAAATTAGTGAAGGTGAACTTAAACAAGAGGAGAGGTGAATGCCCCTTGCTCATTTTTGGCAAGTTTTGATGTCCTCATTCAAATGTTTTATACTATTTTAGAATCACTGTCTTTATTTATATTGTCTTTAGTCACTCATGTTTCTTTCTCACACAAAAAATATAGACTTGAGACAAATTTTCTTTTGATAAATACAGGGTGCAGTGGAGTAGTGGTCTGCGCTTGTGCTTCTTAGCAGGAAGGTTCTGGGTTTTATTCCACCTCCTAGATGTATTGAGTTTTCATAATCTCCCCATGTCTGCGTAGATTACCACTAGAAACATGGAATGGGCCTGTAGGCGACCCTGCTCCCATGTGTGGAGTTAGAGATAAATGCCCACAACGATTGTAAATGTTAATACATGTTAAAGATCCTCCTCCTGTTGACTCCAAACTCCTTCTGCTGGAGTCTTATTCACCAGAGGTTGTGGTTGCATCATGAACAGGTTGGACCACCTCCAACATTACATGGATTTATCCTCTTTATTCTGGGAACAGACTGTGTTTCTCTCACACTTGAACCTGAATGAAACCGAGGCGTGTCTTCCTGCTGTGAATAAACCTGTTAAGACCCAGTGGTATAATTACAGATCTCCATTTTATACCATTGATATCCTTTGTGGTACTCACTGTAAAGACGCTGTGAAGAAGCTTGTGCTGCTTCACTTAAACGATAGACCTCCGCCAGGCATATCCATCAGACATGGCAGCAAGCAACACAAATCAGCAACATCTGACTTCCATAAAAGAGAAATTCATATAATAAACTGGGACAATGCAGAAAAAAGAATGTAATGGCCTCATGCTGACTACTCACAGCTGCTGGATCACTACAAATATGCAAAACATTCAAACATCAGGAATATAAATGTAAGGTTTGCTCTGGTGTAAAGTGTAACCGTTAATCCTGTACCTTTTTGGCATTGTTTCATGACACCGATGGCAAATGTTAGTGATAGCTCAGACTTCTCTGTTTTGTAAACGGAAAGAGGCATCGTTCCAGGTAACAGAAGAGCTGCATATTCCATCCATCCATCCATCCATTTTCTACCCTTTAATCCATTTCTGGGTCAGGGGGGGTGGCAATCAGAGATGCCACCCAAGTCTCATAGCACCAGCCCCTCACTGACCCTCTGCAGGTGGTGAGTCCACAGGAGGACGGCTGCTCTCTGAGTGTGAGCATAGCCTTGATCTTTCAGTGGGGGCTTTGGGCAAAGTGGGGTTAAGTGTCTTGCCCAAGGACACAACGACAGCAGTCATCAGTGGGAGTCTGTGGAGAAGGTGCAGAGGTGGGAATTGAACCCAGAACCTTCTGGCCTTAAGGCCAATGCTCTACCAACTGAGCTACTGTCGCACCGAGCTGCATATTTGTATTCTTATTTTCTTTGTTTACCTCTTGGTGTAATGTATGTAAAACACAATGTCACGTTCTACATTTTGGCAGTGGTTTCTTCCAGTGACCCCTATTCTAAAGCTGGGGTACTGAACCTAAGCACTCTCAGGTCTCAGCAAGAAGGTCCTGGGTTTGAGTGGTAAGAACATGCCTTTTCTGAGTGGAGTTTGCATGTTCTCCCTGTGTCTGTGTAGGTTTCCCCCGGCCGCTCCAATTTCACCTGCCACAATTGGTAAAAATCTTCCCACTCTCTTGGTCCTGACCAAGCTGAGTATAAAGAATGTAAAAACCTGGAGATGGGTTCTCTGCACTGTGGCGACCACTGCTCCTAGCACAGACCTTAGAGTCACTGCAGGATGGGTCAAATGCAGAGGGCAGAGTGTCCTCCCTCTAATCCTACTCTACTCTACCCATGGATCTATTATAATAACACTCTACCCTACTCCTACTCCTACTCTGCTCTTCCTGGTTCTAGAATAGAGTAGAGTAGAGTAGAGCGGGTGGAATCAAGGCTAAATAAAGAACCTAACCTTCACCTTCTTTGTTTTATAAATAATACATGTTGTTTGTACTAACAGCAAACGTGAACAACTTGGACGACAACTCTCCCTTTTTTTAGACATCTTATGATTTGCATATTAATGAGAAAGAGCCTTGAGAGTCACTATTTGACTCTTTGAGCTGAGAGCTGATGGGCTGTGAGTGAGGGTGTTCAATTCTGACATGGGCGAGTAGTAGTAGCATTGTTTTAAATGGTCACTTTCCATTCATTTTATTAAGATGATACTTTAATCCCACACTAACACCAAGCTGCCAGTAGCATTAGTTTTTTGAACATTTGTTGGTCAGGCTTGAAGTAACAAATCTAATCTAAAAAGTAGATACAACTAAATTCTCTTCATTTATGGCATGTGAAACTTTGACAGATTCTGTGTCCTCCACTAGATGGCAGTAAATGCATGCCCTCTGTCACTGGTCTTTACACTTACACATAATACCACCATAAGAGATATCCAGTTATGCATTCCAAGTATTCTATGGTGAGGTCATACCTGGAGGTGAAAGCCAGATCCAGTT